CCGCAATAATGGCCCGAACATCGTGAAATTTTGCATGGAGAAGGGGATCGGGCCAAAGAATAAGCATGCTTGTTTTGATAAAGAATGGTCAATATTTAGCGGGTCAAATGGACCCTGACTTTTGTGTGAAAAATGACAAAATTTGTATTCTATAGCGTATATATTTAGCCCTGAATGACATAGACCCGAGAAGTTGATATTATATCCAAGAGGAGTGGTTGACCTTTAAATTAATACCAATTATATTGTTGTATGTGCTCGGATGTGGGAGATACACCTTAATATTTACAGGTATCTCCGTATCCGTATATTATTTAGTAACCCATTATCACTCTAGAGCGCGGAACTATAGCGCTGATCGCTTTGAAATGTTCCATAAGGTTCCAGTTATGGTCAAGGACAACGCCTATAATTTTCGGTGATGATCAGATAATAATTTTGGAATGAGGTGGACCAAAAACATAATTTTTTGTGTTATTTTCGAGTCGATATATAGACCACAAATGAGAGCCAAACATCGCAACACAACCCACGGTGAAGGGAATCTGGACAATAGCTGTACTGAATACTCGTAATATTCGGAAAATATGTCAGTGTGAGGATGAGGTACTGTTTACCTCTAATCGGGCAAGAGGATGTCAATATCACGAAATATTGCCCAGGCTCGAAATAAACATCCGCAGAAAATTTGAGTTCCGTGGTAGTTGTGTAGGGTATCGTATGGTCGGCCCCGTCCGACTATACTGCTACGCTCACTGGTTTTATTTGCATTACTCTGGGAACAAAATGAGAATGGAACGTTATGGATGTTTCAAAATTGACACCAAAGAATGTCCATTCGACATTGCTATTGTGACAATTTCTGACCACAGATGGCGTCACGTTCGTGCTCGAAACCGTTGTTAAAATCTCGGTATCAAATTGACAACGCAGTGTTCAAGTTGACCGCAAACGGTGTTGTTACACTATTGACACCGAATGTGCTCATTTTGTACACGAATGTTGCCATTTTTTCTCTGGGTGTACATACATAAATAATTAACTCAGAAAATTTTCTTCCAGAAACACAAAGAAATTTAAGAAAATCTGTAAAAAAAAAATAAACTAAGATTCTGGAAATTAGTCCTTGAAAATTCTAAGGGTCTTGGATCGGTTACGGTTTTGATACAGGTCCTCATATAAATTCCCCGCTCTATTTTAGGTATTTTGAGGGTTTGAGGCTTTCTATTACCATACAAGAAAGTATAAATCGCTTTGAAATTGTTTATGAAGTTCCTATTGCTATGTATATCTTACAATAAGTAGGAATGTCTCTTGGTATCATATAGTCGGTCCCATCCAACTTTCCCCCTCTCCTTACTAGTCATGCTTCAAAGTTGTATTCCACTGGATATCATCTGCCTAATTTCCAGAATCTTGCTTTATTTTTTTTTTAAATTGTCTTAAATTTCTTTGAGTTTCTGGAAGAAAATTTTCTGAGTTAATTAACCAATTGTTCGATTAACACAAATAATGTGATTCAGCTCAAAGCGAGTCTGCTGATGGTTCACGCAGATGGGAAGGTCACGAATTAGATGGAAAGACCAAGTAGAAGACAACATCTTGCAACGTGGTCTTTTTAAAATTGGAGGAGATGCGCACAAGACCGACGCGCTTGAAAAATTTTTTAAGCTCGGCTTATGAAACAACCCTTCTGTAACAAGCCAGCTAAGTAAGTAAGATCTGCCTACCACAAATAAATATGATACATTATATGATTATAGGCCAAACAGATCCGGCCGTTTTCATTATAAGTATTGTATTCGATTTGTATGAAGGCATATACATAATTTCAAAAATAACCTACCTTAACTGCAAACAACGGTATACTTCTTCAAGTCATAACTCAAAATGTTGACCTATGACGACTTCGGACATTCTGTATTCTTAGTATACTTATCCAGGCATACCGTAAAGTTAAGAGAGAAAGGACCTGACCAAGGAACAAGCACGAATTCTTTCATGTTATTATTTAACGGTTCAAATTTTACTTTTGTGTAAAATTGGCAAACTTTACGGTATATAGTATATATTTATTCCTCAAGGTCATAGACCAGAGAAGTTGACAATATATATACAAGATGAGTGGCTGACCTCCAAATTTGAGACTAATTATATTTTTTTTTATGTACTCAGATGCGGGAGTTATACGTAAATATTTACCGGGGTCTTACTATTCTGATATTGTTTAGTATTACCATTGCCATACTAGATGGCGTAAAAGTCGCGCTAATCGCAATGAAATTGTTCAGGAAGTTCCTGTTATAACCAAAGACGACGCTTATAGTTTTCTGTGGCAGTCTAATGACATTTGAATCGTTTATTTTGAAAGTGTTTATTTTTCTTATATTGAGGTATTTAAATGTTTGGATTTGATTAGCATCAAAAATATTGTAATGTGGTATTAATTTTGTTTGTGGCTTTGCCCTTAAACATGATAAAAGATATAACGTAAAATGGTTTGTAAACTTTTCTGGAAAATCACGATTTGTATCAGAACTTAAAATGGTCTAAAAGCACTTAAAAAACGACTCATTTATTGGATGAAATGGAACAATGTCTAACTTTTTATGTAGTCGCTCTAGAGGCCAAAATTATAAGCCGTACGCCACAAAGTTATTACGGGGATGGCTATCTGGACAGGTAATTTGAATAGTTGTTTTGAGAATGATCGGACAATATTTAGCGGGACAATTTAACAAGACTGCTGTGCGAAAAATTACAAAATTTGCATCTTATACCAGTTGAGGAAATAGGATGAGTTGTACATTAATTTAATCAAAACATGTAATAAAGTGTCAGTCGGTGTTACCGGCAGATATATACCCTCACCCTATGGTTTGTGGTGGAGGTCTTCGGAGTTATACACAGGTTTTATCATTCGTTTTATATAAAGTATATGTTTAATTAAAGATATTCGAAACATCTTTAATTAAACATATACTTTATGTTGATCAAATATATAATATTGACCCTTTTTGTAGGATGTACCAGAGGAGAGAGCAGACGGGTCTCACCTTCGGACTTTATAAATATTGAAATGTTGGGTGGAGGTACCAGAAGGAGTGAACCAAAGGGTCCCATCTTCAAACTTTATCTAGGCTTGGTAAATATATTCGGCTGTCCAAAGTTTGATTCAAATCGGACATTCCAATCGCCTGATATTGGATTTATAAATATTGAAAATGTTGACCCTCTGTGGGGGAGGTACCAGAAGGAGTTGGTAATTAGAGTTGGAGTTGGATTTAGAGTTGGTAACGATAACTGGTTGTGCAAAGCTTTGTTCAAATCGGACATTCCATTCGCCTGATATTGGATTTATAAATATTAAAAATGTTGACCATTTGTGTGGGAAGTACCCACGAGGATCTAGGCATGGTAAAGATATTAGGCTATCCAAAGTTTGATTCCAATCGCCTGATATTGGATTCATAAATATGAAAAATGTATTTCGATGAGGCACATTTTCATCGTATCAAAGTGTATGTGCCCTCATTAGCCATAAGGCTGAGGGTATAAACACAATTATATCGATGGAAGAGGTCAGACATGGGAGTAATACTAAAATATGTTTTGAGGGACCGACTAATCAAATTCGGAATTATTTTAAGGGGTTTTATGTTGAAACTATAGGCACTTCCATTGGATTTACTTACCCCTTGAAATTCGAAAATTTGTTTTGGATTTTTTTCCTTTGCCCTTTAAAAGCAAATCCCAAAAAAAATTAAAATAAAACAACAGAAAAAGTTTTTTTTTTCAATAAACAATTACAAATTAATGTTTTTTTTTATTTATTAATAATAATAATGTATATATAAACTGATTTCTTTTTTTATATAAAAAAGAAGAAGACGAAAAAACATAACTTAAATAGTATTCTGTGGTAAATATTAGAAATAGTGGTATTAAAAAGTAATAGTTGTTGCACTGGTTTGTTGTTTGATTGCAATTTGAGAGGAGAAAAAAAAACAAAACAAAAAAAGAAAATTAAATAAATTTTATAAATTTAATTTCAAAATTAACATCTTTAAGATGAAATTAAAAAAAATATATATAAGACTTGTTTTTTTTTTTTGAAATTTTTAAAATAAAAATATTTCAAAATTTTCTTTTATACATAAAAAAATTTTAAATTAAATTGCCACAATGATCAGTTTTTTTTCATTTACTATAAAAGACTAATGTTAATTAAAAAAATAGTATAGCATAAAGTGTGTTTGTGTGTGTGTTTGGTTTTTTTGGTATAATTGTGCAAAGTATAGTTACAAAAAAAAATAATAATTAAACAAACAAAATTAATTCTATTTTTTTTATCTAAGGAAAAACTTTTGTTTTATAAATTTATACACACATTTATTTATTGCTATATATATTTTATGTTTTTTAAGTTTATTTTTTAAATACAGATTTTATTTTAATTATTTTTATATATAATATTTTTTGTTATTTTTTAATTTATTTATTAATTTATTTATTAATTTACAAATATTAAGTATAATTAAGTGCCTGGTCACTATATTTTTATATATATAATTATTTATTTATATAATGCGCCTTCGGTTTGTTTGTTTTGTTTTATTATTTTATAAGATTATTTTTTGTTTTTCTTATTTTTACATTTTATTTTTTTTTTACTTATAATTATAATTTTTATTATTTTTTTACATAATATATTATTATTTTTTACAGTTTTGGACATTTTGGTTTATATCTACAAAAACAAATGTTACACGTATTATTTTTATTACTTTTTTTATTGAGGGGGGACTTGTTGTTGTTATAACTATCTTTTCAGCTTTTTACAGTATTTAACTATTTTTTTTTATGAATTTGAGATTTTTTTTTAAGAAGAAATATTTTTTTTCATATATATTTTTTTTTAATTTTCATTATTTTTTTTTATTGAAATTTCAACATTTTTTCCATACCCATAGAAAAAACCGAGGAAATTTTCTTGGCTACTACTTGACATCCACAATAAGAGGAACTTCACTGATATCGATGAAATTTGGTGGTGGCGTATCCGAACCCTCAATGGTTTGGCTACTCAGCTCTTCTTTGGCCTTAAAAGCCTGGCTAACCTTGGCTGATGATAAAGGGGATTTTTCCGCAGAGGAATTTTCACTTGCTTTTGTATTCATTGTTACTTTATGTGCTGCGGATACTGACACCGAGCTATTGGACATAGAGCACATCGATGATCCGCCCGATGACAAGGCTGCCGTCACCACATCTTTGGTGAAATTTGTAAATTCATGCTCATCCATTGCACTCTGACAGTTGGCCATTAAGGCAATGCGCTGTTGTTGCTGTTGCAGACATTGATTGGCATTAACAGCTGCCGCCGCCATCATCATGGCAGCATCACAATAATTTGTTAACATGGCCGTACTGGAGGCTGCTGCCGCCGCTGCATATGTTGTACTATTGGCCATTAATGCCGATTGGGTTAATTGATGATGATAATCATTGCCAAAAAATGTTGGAGCATAATTAACAGCAACACCACCTCCTGCACCCGCACCAGTGCCCACATTCTCCGAAGCTCCCGCAACAGATGTTGTTGCTGTTGTGGATGGGGGTGGTGTAGCTGCCGTCGTGGCCGTTGAAGTTACCCCACTAACACTGCTACTACTACTGCTGCTGCTACTCACACTGTTGCCACAACTTACAGTGGCTGTTGCCGTACCATTGGCCATTCTCTCCAAACTTGTTTCCATGGCAGCACTCCCATGGTCCATGGAACCACTAGGCAAATTGGTAAATTCATTTGTATTGGAACTGCCAGCCAAAGCTGAAGCTGCTGCGGCTGCAGCAAAACTGCCATAAACACCACCATGTTGCAACTGTTGGT